TTACCTATGATCCTTTCTCCTCAGTAGGTAGAGACCAGTAAGCCACGAATAAAACATGTAAAAATTTAGGGAGAACTTAAGATACAATAAGTTAATCAGTTTCTATGGTGTATAGATAAAATCAGTTTTTGTAGATCAATTTTCCAACGGAGTTTGTTTTGTACTTATTTACCTACAGCAAACAACCTACGTGCTAGTTTCATGTTTATACTAGGAATATTTTTATTCTGAATGGTCCATACTAGGTATAAGTATTTTCCTACAACCTGCTGTAGTCATCTTATGTTTAAGTAATCAAAATTTATTTCCATACATCGCATAATTATCTTGACAAATCTACTTGAGACAAGAGTAATTTCATTTACATAAATGACATTTTCTGTCATGGTTTAATTAACGCCTTCTGTGGATAATACCTTGTTAGCTTCACAGTCGTCTTACACGGCGTTTCTCCATTACAAAGATCAACACTGTTATCAAATTTTATTCAAATGGAAAATACGAGAATAAACTGAGGAAAGACTCGACTTGACATTAGTTATCTAATTCTGGAAGTATCGTTTCCAGGCTATTCTTGTTGGTATGGTAGATTGTAAGAGATGCTTGTGTTGTCACAGTTTGTGTCAAAATTCAGGAATTAATGCATATTTTAATCATGTATGATAACATTAAATCTATTGTCGTACAAGATTGTTAAATGTGTAAAGCGCCCTTGTGTATTTTAGTTTAAACAATATTTTCATTTGATATTCAACAATTTAAAGGAAACCTTTGCTGGGTTGGGAAACAATTTTAGAATTTATGTTCTCCTTTCCCAAGTATGTATAAAAGTACATAAATCATCGGAATTGGAAACACCTTACTTGTATGAAATGGGTAATAATAAAGTTTAATAAGTAAAATATATACATGTGGCGTATCAGGACACTTTAACTTGTTTATCAGTAGATACAAATAACCTTATTTTGCTAAATACAAATATGTCATACCACAGAACAATATATATTCATATATAAACAATGAACGCAAAAATATTAGTTAAAACATTTACTTAGCTTGGTAAAATTTTGGACTGTCATAATATTTCATTGTTTTTCTGCTTTGAGTAAGCATCATTTCCCCAAACAAGTGTTCCATAATGCCCAAGTCTATTGACGTATTGAGTCTGATTACGGTATCATCGTCACACGATAGTAAACATGGCGGGTACTTTCAACTAAATCTTCATTTAAACTTCTTATATCTTAGTGCTGTTGGAGACGATGTTAGTCTTGATCGTGTATGTAAAATCTGAAGATGACTTCTTCCATTACTTTATCGTCAGACTGCATTTTCCATTAATAACTGTAGAAGATGAAAAACTTGGGTTTTCTTCTTTCAGACAAGCATTCCATTTCTTCACTTAGACATTTGCCATCAAAATTCCGCGGTAAGTTTAGAGATCCAAAGAAGGGAGATAACTCTTTCACGATCGCAATAACCCCTTGGAAGCGTACAAGTACAGGGATTAGATAATAGGTATTTCATACATCTGATATAAATGCCTCTTAATTTAGCGAGATTATCATAGATATATTAATAAAGAGTGAAAATGGAAATCCTTGGTAAATCTTAGTGTAATGATACAACTATTGTTTCATGCTATTTATTATATGATATTACATACTTACATCACTACCAGATATTTATATTAACATTAAATCATACCTTTCCGTGCCCGACCAATTCTTAACCCTTACTTTTTATTTTGTATATATTTCGGACAATACCAACGCATGTTTTACATTCTTTTTGACACAATGATTTGGTCTTCCTTCTCTTCATATCGGTACAGTTAAAGTCATTGCCGTTTTTATTATGATGTTTCAGCCGCATCATCTTATAAATCCTTCAACTATATACAGAAACAGGATACCTCTATATGCTGCAAGAGAGGAAACTGGGACTCCTGTCTCTGTACAGACCTAAGTATGGCTGGAATCTGTATTGACAAACACTGTTTTGGTTGTAAAGAATGTAAGGTGTGTATCCCCTGTGATATGTTCATCATTAGATTGTTTATGTATTGTTGTCATCATCATTTATTAAAATGATTGCATCGGAATAATGGTCTGATTTTAATAGATTAAGAATTCATCATTATTATTACAGGGCTAGAATACTTTATGATGACAATGAATATTAAGAATTATGTCTTTAAAAGAAAAAAAACCTATTTTATGTATATTCTATAGAACTAGTAAAGCAATTAAATGTCTAAAAAATGAAATACTTTGGATTACAGTGTTTAGATAAAGGAATGAAGGAGTAGGTGGATAAATAGATTCATTTCTTTTCAGGTTAAGATATTTAAATGATTGTGGCACACAGACCAGTACAGACCATCTTCTACATATTCTACAGAGGGATTTCAAGAAGATGTCGGCTCAGAATCATTAAATTGTGATACTTTAACAAATAGATGCTGATTAAGTAAAATGATTCTATAACTCTTTAGATGGTAGTTATATATGTTAAAACACGCCTTTTGATGGGGTTTGTTATGGTAAAGCCTAGATAAAGCTGGGCTATATAGACCTGACATCTTACTACTGCTGATTGTTGTATAATACAAAAACACATTATACATCATACTCTCATTTTGAATACCTTTTGAGATTACTCTATAGACTATACCATTTGACAGACTATCATCTGCAAATACAAATATTTATGTTTCAGTTTAACTTGTGCTTTCGAACACATTATGTTATGCACGAAATCTACTTCTAAATTTGCGTTGAGAGGTGTTCTTTTCTATTGTGTAGCTTGTACAAGTTATGTGATAAGAAGTCTTGCTTTCCTAAAAATTTGGTATTGGTACACGGTATAGTCGTGTTTAAGTTCCTCAATGACCTGATCATTGATAAAAACAAAAAACAAAAAACAAAAAAAACGGCCCAGACACCAATTGAAGGATGCATACCTTGTTTATTATGTTAGCATAATACTTTTGTGTGGTGTTAAAGACATTTTTTACGTCAACATGTTAAACTTGTATCTGGCTGTTAAAGTCAGTTTGATCCGTCAACGTGTTAAACTTATATCTGGCTGTTAAAGTCAGTTTGATCCGTCAACGTGTTAAACTTGTATCTGGCTGTTAAAGTCAGTTTGATCCGTCAACATGTTTAACTTGTATCTGGCTGTGAAAGTCAGGTTGATCCGTCAACGTGTTTAACTTGTATCTGGCTGTGAAAGTCAGTTTAATCCGTCAACATGTTAAACTTGTATCTGGCTGTGAAAGTCAGTTTAATGCGTCAACATGTTAAACTTATATCTGGCTGTTAAAGTCAGTTTAATCCGTCAACGTGTTAAACTTATATCTGGCTGTTAAAGTCAGTTTGATCCGTCAACGTGTTAAACTTGTATCTGGCTGTTAAAGTCAGTTTAATGCGTCAACATGTTAAACTTATATCTGGCTGTTAAAGTCAGTTTAATCCGTCAACGTGTTAAACTTATATCTGGATATAAAAGTCAGTTTAATCCGTCAACGCGTTAAACTTATATCTGGCTGTTAAAGTCAGTTTGATCCGTCAACGTGTTAAACTTGTATCTGGCTGTTAAAGTCAGTTTGATCCGTCAACGTGTTAAACTTGTATCTGGCTGTTAAAGTTAGTTTAATGCGTCAACATGTAAACCTTGTATCTGGCTGTTAAAGTCAGTTTAATCCGTCAACATGTTAAACTTGTATCTGGCTGTTAAAGTCAGTTTAATGCGTCAACGTGTTAAACTTGTATCTGGCTGTTAAAGTTAGTTTAATGCGTCAACATGTAAACCTTGTATCTGGCTGTTAAAGTCAGTTTAATCCGTCAACATGTTAAACTTGTATCTGGCTGTGAAAGTCAGTTTAATCCGTCAACATGTTAAACTTGTATCTGGCTGTTAAAGTCAGTTTGATCCGTCAACGTGTTAAACTTGTATCTGGCTGTTAAAGTTAGTTTAATGCATCAACATGTTAAACTTATATCTGGCTGTTAAAGTCAGTTTAATCCGTCAACATGTTAAACTTGTATCTGGCTGTTAAAGTCAGTTTAATGCGTCAACATGTTAAACTTGTATCTGGCTGTGAAAGTCAGTTTAATCCGTCAACATGTTAAACTTGTATCTGGCTGTTAAAGTCAGTTTGATCCGTCAACATGTTAAACTTGTATCTGGCTGTTAAAGTCAGTTTAATCCGTTAAATGTTAAACCAAGGAAACACACAGCTGGGTACACTCGCTTCCGGAAGATATGAACTCCGTTTACCCACGGATGGTGTGACATCCACATTTCCTTCTCAATCTGTAAATTAGTCGTTTCCATGGAAATGTTTATTTGATGATCGTATGAGTAGCACACATGACGTATACAGATTCATTGATAAGTCTCTTGGTATCATACAAATCATACAAATTAGAAAAAAACGACATAGGTTAAATAAAAAAATGTTATCTAAGATTATTATGATACGGACAACAAGGAGAAAATTAGAAGTGGAAAAATTATATCAAAATTTAATCAAGTTCATAGAAAATGACATTGCTCCACGATTAAAACCTCCAGAACACTTAATGGTAATTTGGAAAAAGGAGAATGAAAACAGTTGACAATTTGATATGGAAAGGTTTAAGAACGATGTAAAATAGAGGATATAATCTGGATGAATAGCCATCCTGATGAACTGGTGTCATAACCGAGGAAATCAGTAATAGCCTCGTCAATCATAACCCAGACAACATTTATCTGTAACACACAATGCAGCCGTCAGCTACCATTTATATTCATATATACATATGGAAAAACAGGCGTACTTATATACATATTATTTGATTTATCGAGCAGTTTTGCCTTATGAAATATACCTTGTGTTCAATTTTAATGTTTATTAAATTTCGATTTCTTCTCGTAATGAAACCACGTGGATTTTAACATTACGGAAATAAAGGTGAAATTTTGTGTTTTACGTTTCATCTATGTGAGTGCTACCAAGGAATGAGTTCTCCTGTGAAGTTAAGAAATGCGCCACTGTCGTCCTCGTTTAGTCCAGCCATGACCTGTAACATCATCTCCACACTCTGATGAGGAAGTAAAGGTGCTGATGGCACACCCATGTCAGTACGAACAGAACCCGGTGACAGACTTAAAGCCAGTATACAGTCCTCACGGAGATCTACCCCTAGGTTTTTCGATACCATGTTTAGTGCGGCCTGTTAAAACGGTCACGGAAACTTAAAGTTATATGCATCGATCAAAGTACAATTGTAAATAAAAACAATAAAACAACTAAACATGAGAATACAACTAATCAGAATAATTTAAAGGTAAAAACAAATATCCGTAGCGATACCAGATACTAATGGGCACGTGGCATCTATAAAGATGCCTGTTTTCTAGTCTAGGGAAATATTAGAAGATTGATGGCCTGACAAAATCTTTTGCAATGAAGCTAATTACGTTTATGTGGTTGTACATGGAAAAAACGTTGATCGTACTTTGATCTATACTCGAAATAAGTTTCTAGATAATTTGTGTATTAATTGATGACACATGATTAAGAACAAATCTAACAAGCCAATTCACGGAATTTATATCCCCCGCTTTCCAAACATATTGTAAGTAAATATCTTAGAGATTAGGTATTAACAGATGATGTTGATCGCTGAACTCGGTCTTATGTGCCCTAATATGCATCTGCTGACCAAGTTTCATCTAAATCGGATTATATTTAGGGAAGTTAGAGCACGGAAATGAACCGACCAATGAAATCAAAGGATACCTCATTTGTATGCATAATTATTAACAGATGACACTGATAGTCAAACGCAGTCTTAATAACCCCAAGATGCATCTGCTGACCAAGTTTCACCCAAATTGGATGATATTTCGAGAAGTAAGAACACGGAAACGAAAGTGTGACAGACAGACGGACGGACGGACAAACCCAAATTAATATCCCCCGTTTTGGTGAAAGCGGGGAATAAAAAGCAATATTTTCGTCTTAGAACTATGTAAAAGTTTCAACACGGTAATATAATCTATGAAGTTTTCTGTATTATAAAAAGCTCTATGTTTTTTCTTAAACTGTTATACTAATTTCTACCACAATACCCCGTGTTATTCAACTCCCAGGGCACTGGGTAATCAATGCAACTATTGAATAACATTGTGTTTATACCACACGTGGTATAAACTGTTTGGCGGGAAAGCCGCTTCACTTGACTTAAACAAAATAAATCCGTAAAGAAAATAGTTAATGATAAAATTTGTGATAAAGAACATTTTATATATACACCTATTTATTGTACGCATTACTGAACCTAATATTTTCGTTATTATTGTAATAAATTACATTAGTTGAATACATTTTTGTGATGTCATTTTTGCATATTAATTAGCAACACTCACTTCGGGTCATATTCTTGCGCATCAAGCGAAAACGTAAACAAAACAACTGTGAGAAAATATGTCAATTTGATCGCCCCAGCGAATGTTTTGTATATTGCTCGTGTTTTTTGTATATTTTGAAAAATAACTTACTCGAATTAAATAAATTCAATATACAATGACCACTCGTTGTGCAACCTCTATTTCTAGTTATAAACACATACTAATACTGAATTTACCTTTGACGTCTTATATGAATAACGGCCCACCAAGAATTCATCGTTGGTTTCTATGGAAGCTAGACGACTTGAGATATTCACAACTGCGGCCTTTCGCCAGGATAATCCGATACCTTCTGTTGTCTTTGCAGCTGTTTTTAAGAACGGTAGAAATGCCTGAATACAAAAATAATTCTTTAAGAAAGATAAAGTTTTTCACCCGATCTTTTCCCACAGATTTTCAAAGTAAAACAATGAAATAAGACTACTATTTGTTAAGGCTTGCATTTAATGTCCACGAATTAGAGTTTTTTTTAAAGTTTGAGTTTATAAATGATGTCAGAAGTATCATTATGAAACCTTGTTCACATTTTAAGTTGTTTTTAATAACGTGAAGCTTGATTCTAACTGAAAAGTAAATTTTATAATGGTTTGTCTAACGAAGTGAGTACGCTAGCAATATTTCTGTTTCAGAAGTCACAGAATCATTATGAATATACTGAAGGTGAGGGCGAAATTCATAACGGTTCATAATCCAAGGTACTGGTCAGTTGTATTTACATCAAAAGATCAGATACATAAATACGTTTCATGTGAAGGGTATCTACAGAATGTACTGGATTAAGGTACAATTTCTTAACAACAAAAACATTTCTGATAGATTTTAACATCCATCTGAAGGGCGAGGTCTGAGTGGTGTCTACAGAATTTACTGGATTAAGGTACAATTTCTTAACAACAAAAACATTTCTGATAGATTTTAACATCCATCTGAAGGGCGAGGTCTGAGTGGTGTCTACAGAATTTACTGGATTAAGGTACAATTTCTTAACAACAAAAACATTTCTGATAGATTTTAACATCCATCTGAAGGGCGAGGTCTGAGTGGTGTCTACAGAATTTACTGGATTATGGTACAATTTCTTAACAACAAAAACATTTCTGATAGATTTTAAAATCCATCTGAATGAAGGGCGAGGTCTGAGTGGTGTCTACAGAATTTACTGGATTAAGGTACAATTTCTTAACAACACATGTATTTCTGATAGATTTTAACATCCATCTGAAAAAATTATATAAAATATTGAGACAGCATTATAGGTGAAAACAATTATGTAATTGTAAAACTTTCTGCAGAGTTTTGAAAAAAAAAACCAACATTTTTAGGTGATTACTTTTGAATTATCAAATTAAATGCGTCAAACTTGACAAATGTTTCAAAAACATTATAAAAGACTTCGAAGGAACTATGATTCCCTTTGGAGAATTGTAACAAGAAAAGACGGTATATCTTAACACATCAACAACAATATTTCTGGCTTTCTCCTACGAACACCCCAAAAATATTTTAGTACGACGTCACCAGTTGAATAAGAGAAGTTTTTTTATTCGATATAAAATATCAAACATCTCAATATGGCATACTTTGGACTTTGTAAAGTGAAAAGTTTACACACAAACCACGACGTACAACGAACGTGACACGATTTAAGGTCATTCTGAATTGGGTCAAATGACCAAACAGCTAAGTGAAGGTCAGATAGGGGTTGTGTGTTATACTGAGTTGAAATGAAGTAGTTTGACAAGAAATGACAATACTGATAAACATGTATTGCTGTATTTGATGTGTAATATCACAATGATAACATACTTGTGTGATGAGCAACGGGGCTACGACATTTATCTTAAAAGTGTTCATCATTATTTCCTCAGTGACGTCATAGAGATCACCACCAGGCCCCACCCCTGCATTATTGATGAGCAGGTTCAGCCCACGGCCCTGTAGAATATCTCTCACTTGTTCTTTTAACTTCTTGATGTTTTCGCGGTCTGTTACCTCTGGAAATAAAGTATTTATAATCAACAAAAATGTGGAAACGTCGTCAAACATTGAGCGAACCATATTTAGATATTGAATGTATTTCCTATATCATTGGAAGTCAATTAAGCTTTAACTTTATTTATATATATACATATGTATCAACTAATGAAAATGAATTAAATAGGAATTTTATTGATCCAGCAAAATTTGCTAGTCAACTATTGCATTGTGATTCGAAATCTGAACAAATTGTTTATTAAAACAGTGATTTATAATGGAGTCTAAATTTAAAGTGTGAAAATCCATTTCTCAGACTTACCAAGCTGTAAAATATGCACAAACGGATATTTGTTTGATATTTTTCTTAGCGCCTGTAATAAAATAAATAAAAAAAAAAACCCATTAATTTATCATTATAAAACAATGTTTAAACAAGGATGAAATCAAAATTGATGTTCTGTTTGTAAGTTTTGCTTGTTTATAAGTGCTGTTAGTTGATAATTCAAACCAAGCCCCCAGACTAGCTTTTTATCATGGCGCCAACTCGCACGTACAGTGTTATGTACGCTTACGTCATGTCGAGAATTCCGTAAAATATATTGTTCAAAATTTATCAATAGTTCAACCACACTGAAATATATAGTAATCGTATTGTTATTCAAAAATAAACTAATTTTGGATCCTCTTAAAATAGTGATTTGAAAGATCGCGGCATTATTTACGCAGAAAATTGCCGCTAGAATGCTCTAATTTTTTTTCGATATTTAAGCCAATGAGAAGGCCAGGATCGGTAAATTTTGTCTGAAAGGCCGTCGCAATAGGCTATGCGTACTGAGTACGTTTAGCCTAAAAATGGAAAACGACATGTACCTGAATGAAAGATCAATGTGGTATATTGGTGGTGCTATTGAGGCTGGTATCATATCTCTCATCTGTGCTTGGCAACAAATTACGTCCTTGTCAACTGATAGCATCAAAGTTGAATATCACTGTTTATTGTACGTGACATTCAGCGTTCACTACACAATCACGAGTGGGATACATACCACTGTTTATTGTACGTGACATTTAGCGTTCACTACACAATCACGAGTGGGATACATACCACTGTTTATTGCACCAGACATTTAGCGTTCACTACACAATCACGAGTGGGATACATACCACTGTTTATTGCACGTGACATTCAGCGTTCACTACACAATCACGAGTGGGATACATACCACTGTTTATTGCACGTGACATACCACTGTTTATTGCACGTGACATTCAGCGTTCACTACACAATCACGAGTGGGATACATACCACTGTTTATTGCACGTGACATTCAGCGTTCACTACACAATCACGAGTGGTATATATACCACTGTTTATTGCACGTGACATTCAGCGTTCACTACACAATCACGAGTGGGATACATACCACTGTTTATTGTACGTGACATTTAGCGTTCACTACACAATCACGAGTGGGATACATACCACTGTTTATTGCACGTGACATTCAGCGTTCACTACACAATCACGAGTGGGATACATATCACTGTTTATTGCACGTGACATTCAGCGTTCACTACACAATCACGAGTGGGATACATACCACTGTTTATTGCACCAGACATTTAGCGTTCACTACACAATCACGAGTGGTATATATACCACTGTTTATAGCACGTGACATTCAGCGTTCACTACACAATCACGAGTGGGATACATATCACTGTTTATTGCACGTGACATTCAGCGTTCACTACACAATCACGAGTGGGATACATATCACTGTTTATTGCACGTGACATTCAGCGTTCACTACACAATCACGAGTGGGATACATATCACTGTTTATTGCACGTGACATTCAGCGTTCACTACACAATCACGAGTGGGATACATATCACTGTTTATTGCACGTGACATTCAGCGTTCACTACACAATCACGAGTGGGATACATACCACTGTTTATTGCACGTGACATTCAGCGTTCACTACACAATCACGAGTGGGATACATATCACTGTTTATTGCACGTGACATTCAGCGTTCACTACACAATCACGAGTGGGATACATACCACTGTTTATTGTACGTGACATTCAGCGATCACTACAAAATCACGAGTGGGATACATATCACTGTTTATTGCACCAGACATTTAGCGTTCACTACACAATCACGAGTGGGATACATATCACTGTTTATTGCACGTGACATTCAGCGTTCACTACACAATCACGAGTGGTATACATACCACTGTTTATTGTACGTGACATTTAGCGTTCACTACACAATCACGAGTGGGATACATGCCACTGTTTATTGCACGTGACATTCAGCGTTCACTACACAATCACGAGTGGTATACATACCACTGTTTATTGCACGTGACATTCAGCGTTCACTACACAATCACGAGTGGGATACATACCACTGTTTATTGCACGTGACATTCAGCGTTCACTACACAATCACGAGTGGTATACATATCACTGTTTATTGCACGTGACATTCAGCGTTCACTACACAATCACGAGTGGGATACATACCACTGTTTATTGCACCAGACATTTAGCGTTCACTACACAATCACGAGTGGGATACATACCACTCTTTATTGCACCAGACATTCAGCGTTCACTACACAATCACGAGTGGGATACATGCCACGTTTGAATTCACTTGAATAGTGGCACGGCGCAAACAATACAAAATTTATCTTATTATGGGGCTGTTGACTTTTATTTTTTTGATAACTTTGGATTCTCCTGAGTCGCCTCCTAGGCTCATTGCATCACAGACGAGTTGTAAAAAGAAGGGCGGAACAGCTGTCAGCCTAATCCATTGTTTTTATCTACTGTATCACACTCTAAATTATGAAAATGTGTTGTTCACTTATGTGTCTTTTGTAAAATCTTCTATACGTTTTCGTGTCTGCAAACTGGTCAAGAGCAGGGAGAAAATTGTGTGTTGTATAGTGTTGCACGAGTAGACCATATTGTGCCCTCTGTTGTATCTGATGTTTTGTGTCGCCTGAGTAGACCATATTGTCTCCTCTGTTGTATCTGATGCATTGTGTCGCCTGAGTAGACCATATTGTGTCCTCTGTTGTATCTGATGCATTGTGTCGCCTGAGTAGACCATATTGTCTCCTCTGTTGTATCTGATGCATTGTGTCGCCTGAGTAGACCATATTGTGTCCTCTGTTGTATCTGATGTATTGTGTGCCTGAGTAGACCATATTGTCTCCTCTGTTGTATCTGATGCATTGTGTCGCCTGAGTAGACAATATTGTGTCCTCTGCTGTATATGATGTATTGTGTGCCTGAGTAAAGCATATTGTGCCCTCTGCTGTATATGATGTATTGTGTCGCACGAGTAGACTGTATTGTGCCCACTGCTTTATTTAACATAGGTTCTCAAGTATAAATGACGAAAATACCAAAATGTGAAAATGATCATTGTCCAAACTCAAATTTCATAAAAAACATAATCTGCGATGTAAACCTTGGTCGATCCAGGTAAATGATGTCAAATCCTCTAAGATCAAGGTATTCAGCAACGGAAGCAACAAGAAGACGTTCTGACATTAAACACGTCCATTTTCATTTTGCACAAAGAAAAATAAATATTTCACAATGAAATCAGTATGACGACCGTAAAACTTTCTCAATAATTTCCATCAACCTGCATCATTTGGAACCCCGTGTTAGGTATTGGTCCGTAAGTTGACTACTTCTCACACGAAAATCTCATACGAACAGGCCCTTAAATATCGAATTACCTGCGACAGAATAGGGAGGAAAGGATGTTGCTCTCCAAAAATGGAAAGTCCATAAATGAAGAAATTGAAATTACCACGCCTACAATACAGTTTAGCGGAAAGCTGTCCATCTATTTTCGTTCGGGAAAAGTGGCTTATGTAGAAGAGCCTGTCGTGTCCATGATTTCCGATTCTGAAGTATACACGAAAGATGTTGTCAACAAATTTCTTGTTATTTAAAGACGTCATCATTATATCTGAAAGTGGAACTATGAAAACAAAGACAAGATAGAAGGACACAGTTACTTCTCGTAGTTATGCTTATAGCATTTGGAAGATCTTACCACCAAACTCGAAGAAGATGTTGTCATCAAGACAAATCCCCCATATATCACAATAATTTGGCAATGTATCAATTAAAATAGCACATTATCATATATAGATAAAACACGGATAATCAGAGGCTAAGACAGAAATAACAAAATTAGTCCTGTGATAATACAACATTAAATCAAATAACCAGGAACAGGACACAACTAATGTCGATACAAATACCACATTAGTCACAGAACAAGGACAACAAACAACCAGGAACAGGACACAACTAATGTCGATACAAACACCACATTAGTCACAGAACAAGGACAACAAATAACCAGGAACAGGACACAACTAATGTCGATACAAACACCACATTAGTCACAGAACAAGGACAACAAACAACCAGGAACAGGACACAACTAATGTCGATACAAACACCACATTAGTCACAGAACAAGGACAACAAATAACCAGGAACAGGACACAACTACTGTCGATACAAACACCACATTAGTCACAGAACAAGGACAACAAATAACCAGGAACAGAACCAAACTAATGTCGATACAAACACCATATTAGTCACAGAACAAGGACAACAAATAACCAGGAACAGGACACAACTACTGTCGATACAAACACCACATTAGTCACAGAACAAGGACAACAAATAACCAGGAACAGGACACAACTAATGTCGATACAAACACCACATTAGTCACAGAACAAGGACAACAAATAACCAGGAACAGAACCAAACTAATGTCGATACAAACACCACATTAGTCACAGAACAAGGACAACAAATAACCAGGAACAGGACACAACTAATGTCGATACAAACACCACATTAGTCACAGAACAAGGACAACAAATAGCCAGGAACAGGACACAACTAATGTCGATACAAACACCACATTAGTCACAGAACAAGGACAACAAATAGCCAGGAACAGGACACGACAAATGTCGATACAAACACCACATTAGTCACAGAACAAGGACAACAAATAGCCAGGAACAGGACACAACTAATGTCGATACAAACACCACATTAGTCACAGAACAAGGACAACAAATAGCCAGGAACAGGACACAACTACTGTCGATACAAACACCACATTAGTCACAGAACAAGGACAACAAACAACCAGGAACAGGACACAACTACTGTCTTAAAGTGCTTAAACCGCGGTGTTGTGGATGTTATGTAAAGATATTATTTATGTTTCTTAAGGAAGGAAGTGAAAGTTAAAAAAAAAAAAAAAAATTTTTCCCCCCAAAAAAAAAAAAAAAAAAAAAAAAAAAAAACAAACAAACAAACATAAAACATAGACATGAAGATTCTTGAGGAGAAGAGATGAATAAAACCCCACAACGTTTGATAGGTAGACAGCGAGCATAGTTCTTACACATTACAGTACTGAATGGGTGAAGGCAGTACATACAAGTAATAAAATGATCAACAGACAAGAATATATATTTCAGTAACGTTAAATATTACCATGAGCTATGAGTACAAATACGCGAGAATACCGCCAACATCTATCAGTTTTAAATGTAATATATACTCATGAATTTCACAACAAATACAACAGCATTAAGTAATATTAAATATAAAGCTGCTTATATCTTACAGCATAAAAAACTATTTGGCTTGAAACTGTTATTCAAAACTTGCAGATACTAGTGAGTGAAACCCTTTTCCGCCATAAATATAATTTTACGACATTTTAGATTTATCTTACTTAATCATTTGTCGTTTAATTGGTCCTCATTTACCGGAAGGTTTCTTTATTGACTGCCGCCATTTTGTAAAATGCTAAAAGTATGTTGTGTAATAAAACCATATTGATATAGGTAGTTCAGTGTAATGACTCTATAAAAGTATTCTTGTGCTGTTCTGTGATCGCCTGCATCTTCGTGTACTCACCGCTGTTGCGAGACTGTAAACTAAATAAACATTTACAAACTTACCACAGCATTGTCTGGTTTCCTGCAAGTTGCTATGATGCAAGATGGCGAGGAGGCTAGAGTAGCGAGTTGTCGGACAAACTCGAGACCAAGTCCCCTATTACAACCAGTAATGAGTACCGTCTGAGGAGGAGCATTCATCGTGGTCAAGAGAGTACTACGTCTAAATCCTGTCGACCTTACATACAAAATGATTTCCTTATAAACACTTACTGTCATATAAATATACACTACTCATTTTTTTTCCGACCTTGAGGAAAAATGACCTTGGGAAAACCAATTGAGCATGTGTATTCCCGGATTTTATAAGCTGGTGTTCGCGGAAGTGCTTGATAAATGTTTAGCTTTCTTCCCGGATCAGATAAGCCATCGACGCCTATGTTCTGGTCAGGTAGAAACATGTATGCTACATGATCCAGCGAACATGTTTGTCGTACCAGCGATCGTAGACAGACTTTGATGGGGATCGTTAAGACCTGTGTAGCTCTATGTATAGGCATGTTTCTTCTACAGGAATGTCCTTTTACATGCCTTAAGCTCCTAAACATACAGGACGACATGTACATATAGGCATTGATATATCTACGGTGTTCATGGTTTCCCGTTGAATGATATATCTGTCCTCGCTATGCAGAGTATATTTATATATTGAACGGCAGAGAAAAATCTTTTTCAGTGAAAAAAATCATCACAAGTCATCAGTTAGAGGTAACATTCTCATTTAAATGTACCTTGTATACCATTTATTGTTGTAGTAAATCAATCAAAATAATATTGTATCCAAATACTGAAACAATATTGTATCATAAATACTAAAACAATATTGTATCATAAATACTAAAACAATATTGTATTGTATCCAAATACTGAAGCAATATTGTATCATAAATACTAAAACAATATTGTATCATAAATACTAAAACAATATTGTATTGTATCCAAATACTGAAGCAATATTGTATCATAAATACTAAAACAATATTGTATCATAAATACTAAAACAATATTGTATTGTATCCAAATACTGAAACAATATTGTATCATAAATACTGAAACAATATTGTATCATAAATACTAAAACAATATTGTATCATAAATACTAAAACAATATTGTATTGTATCCAAATACATAAGCAATATTGTATCATAAATACTAAAACAATATTGTATCATAAATACTAAAACAATATTGTATTGTATCCAAATACTGAAGCAATATTGTATCATAAATACTAAAACAATATTGTATCATAAATACTAAAACAATATTGTATTGTATCCAAATACTGAAACAATATTGTATCATAAATACTAAAACAATATTGTATCATAAATACTAAAACAATATTGTATTGTATCCAAATACTGAAACAATATTGTATCATAAATACTAAAACAATATTGTATTGTATACAAATACTGAAACAATATTGTATCATAAATACTGAAACAATATTGTATCATAAATACTAAAACAATATTGTATCATAAATACTAAAACAATATTGTATCATAAATACTAAAACAATATTGTATTGTATCAAAATACTAAAACAATATTGTATCATAAATACTGAAACAATATTGTATCATAAATACTAAAACAATATTGTATTGTATCCAAATACTGAAACAATATTGTATCATAAATACTGAAACAATATTGTATCATAAATACTAAAACAATATTGTATCATAAATATTAAAACAATACTGTATTGTATCCAAAATACTTAAACAATATTGTATCATAAATACTAAAACAATATTGTATTGTATCCAAATACTGAAACAATATTGTCTTTTGTACAAGCGGCGTGCGTAGTTTAGTTATGAATCAGTGACTTAATACGGTACCATATGGACCTAACTGAAATGCACACATTTGTCAAGTTTCAAGGGTGTAACGTCAAGGATTTAATTTACAATGTTAACTTTCTGCTAACTGCGTTTCTTTTTCCTCTCAGTATATATCAGTAGAAACAACTCGTCAACATCAGATAATGAAACAACCCCTGAAAGAATCATATCACAAAGAATATAATCAGATACAAGAAATTTAACAGTAACTCCAACAACATCAACTGCTGTATCAGAAACAATCACTGTAGTAAAAACTGGAGCAAAGTCAAAGACGACAACTAGTCGAAATCGTAAGGATGGGGCTTCTATATGTATAGAACACATTTCTAACATACGCATTTTCCCTCATGAACTCAACATCATCAAGGTTTCCTCCTATAGGCACTTCACGTGTTGGCCTTTTCTTACTTCTTCATATGCTCGGAAGTTCATTTAAGCCTTATGTGAACTAACCTATAATTTTTGAATGGAAACTAAACCATATACATCACGTGCCATTAGCAACTAATTGGAAGACAAATAGGAAGAATTAAATAGGATGTTAAGTATATATTTATATAGATATTTGCATGTCAAACGTTAATTACAGAAAATCAAACTGGGATGTTAAAAAATCAATTGTTCCATTGACAAGTCTCTTAAAACGTACACCATGAATCAAAGAAATGAAATAGTTAGTGTGCTATCTCATCAAAATGCCAAGAAGCCCTATAAGGTCAGGTAAATGTTAATTGAGAAATGGAATTTCTAAGCAAATGATCGCATTATATGGTCAACTGTCTGTACGAAGAGGCGAAGTGGCGATGAGAAGGAAGCGGAAGTGACAAATCATTGATGCGTGGATGTCTAAGTCTGGGTCCGGACTCGGAGGTGTATATTTTTATGGCTGTGGTAATAGGGTAAAAAGGTAAATATACATGTACAGGCTAACAACTGTAATCTTAACAACCCAATATAACCATTAAAATATCAGTTTATAAAATATTTATTCCGTCTATTGCAAAGTCCTGATCTCGACAAGAGTACAACATTTGATTTACTTTCTAAAAGATGATTAATGTTTACGGAAAATGTGTTCCGTTTGGGCATATGGTTTTAAAGCTTACTTTAGCCCAATCCGTGCAAATCTTATAATTACTCACATTATTAGCATTATTGCAGAGTTCACACTAAAACAATTTACGAGCAGACCAGCCCTCGGTAATGACGGGGAATAACTTGTCTAATGGCCGAGGATCAAAGGGAATAGCCACAATAAAGGTTGAAAAACCAATTAGGAGAAAGTGTTGGTGATATGTCTATTCATCAGTGGTTTAACGTATATACAAATAGCATTTAACTTGTCCTGTGGCATCATGCTTAATTGCACATTCGTGTAATACAATGTGTATGGAGATAGATGTGATGTTGAAGGAAAACTCTTTGAAGACGTAACATTCAAGATGGCGTTTTCAAAATCCAAATGATAATAGCATAACATTTATAGATGGACAATGATTGCGTCGCTGTATGAAGCCTATGGGAATGTGAGCAAATATTTGATGTGTCTTCAACGTTTTAAGAAAATGACACTGAAATGTTTGAAATAAAAAGAAAAGATTCTTGGTGGGCAGTCATCGACAGATCCAATCAAAATTCTTTTAGCCATTTGTTTCCAGAACTGATTGGCTTTTACAAAATGATGATTATCCATTAGTCTGATGAGATATTTTGCTGGTAATATACATGTCCTCACTGGAGGATCGTCTACTTCTTTTAAAAAATAAAGTCGTTTTTACCTTTTTTGTTTTTTCAAAGATCATCTAGTTAACGCGAGATTTCCCATCATTTCGACGGTTTGACTGGTGGCTGTCAACAGTTTTGCCATCATTTCGACGGTTTGACTGGTGGCTGTCAACAGTTTTTCCATCATTTCGACGGTTTGACTGGTGGCGGTCAACAGTTTCCAGATCATTTCGACGGTTTGACTGACTGTCATTTCGACGTTTTGACTGGTGGCTGTCAACAGTTTCCCCATCATTTCGACCGTTTTGACTGGTGGCTGTCAACAGTTTTCCCATCATTTCGACGGTTTGACTGGTGGCTGTCAACAGTTTTCCCATCATTTCGACGGTTTGACTGGTGGCTGTCAACAGTTTTCCCATCATTTCGACGGTTTGACTGGTGGCTGTCAACAGTTTTCCCTTCATTTCGATGGTTTGACTGGTGGCCGTCAACAGTTTTCCCATCATTTCGACGGTTTGACTGGTGGCTGTCAACAGTTTTCCCTTCATTTCGATGGTTTGACTGGTGGCCGTCAACAGTTTTCCCATCATTTCGACGGTTTGACTGGTGCCTGTCAACAGTTTTCCCATCATTTTGACGGTTTGACTGGTTGCCGCCAACAGTTTTCCCATCATTTCGACGTTTTGACTTGTGGATGTCAACAGTTTTCCCATCATTTCGACAGTTTGACTGGTGGATGTCAACAGTTTTTCCATCATTTCGACGGTTTGACTGGCGGCTGTCAACAGTTTTCCTATCATTTCGACGGTTTGACTGGTGGCCGTCAACAGTTTTCCCATCACTTCGACGTTTTGACTGGTGGCTGTCAACAGTTTTCCCATCATTTCGACGGTTTGACTGGTGGCCGTCAACAGTTTTCCCATCATTTCGACGGTTTGAGCTTGTGGCTGTCAACAGTTTTCCCATCATTTCGACGGTTTGACTAGTGGCTGTCAACAGTTTTCCCTTCATTTCGACGGTTTGACTGGTGCCTGTCAACAGTTTTCCCATCATTTCGACGGTTTGACTGATTGCCGCCAACAGTTTTCCCATCATTTCGACGTTTTGACTTGTGGATGTCAACAGTTTTCCCATCATTGTGACGGTTTGACTAGTGGCTGTCAACAGTTTTCCCTTCATTTCGACGGTTTGACTGGTGCCTGTCAACAGTTTTCCCATCATTTTGACGGTTTGACTGGTGGCTATCAACAGTTTTCCCATCATTTCGACGGTTTGACTTGTGGCTGTCCACAGTTTTCCCATCATTTCGACAGTTTGACTGGTGGATGTCAACAGTTTTCCTATCATTTCGACGGTTTGACTGGTGGCCGTCAACAGTTTTCCCATCATTTCGACGTTTTTACTGGTGGCTGTCAACAGTTTCCCCATCATTTCGACGGTTTGAGCTTGTGGCTGTCAACAGTTTTCCCATCATTTCGACGGTTTGACTAGTGGCTGTCAACAGTTTTCCCTTCATTTCGACGGTTTGACTGGTGGCTATCAACAGTTTTCCC